AGAAGAAAGAGAAAAGAAAAAGAAGAAGAAGAAAGAAGGAAAGAAAGGGAAGAAAAGAGAAGAAGTAAGAAAGAAGAAGACGAGAAAAAGAAGAAGAAGAAAAAGAAGAGAAGAAAAAGAAGAAGAAGAAAAGAAGAAGTAAGAAAAAGAAGAAGAAGAGAGAGAAAAATGGAAAAGAGGAAAAGAAAGAAGAAAGAAAAAGAGAAGAAAAAGAAGAAAGAGAAGAAAAAGAAGAAAGAAGAAGCCAAAGAAAAAGAAGATAAGAAAAAAGAAAAAGAAGAAGAAAAAGATAAAGAAAAAGAAGAAGAAAAGAAAAGCAAGAAGAAAAGAAAAAGAAGAAGGAGGGGGAGGGCGGGTAGGAGGAAGGAGGGGGAGGAGGAGGAAGGTAGGAGGAGGGGGAGGGGGAGGGGGAGGAGGGGGAGGGGGAGGGGGAGGTATCTGGTATGAGATCGAGGGGAGGGGGAGGAGGAGGGGGAGGAGGAGAGGGAGGGAAGGAGGGGGGGGAGGAAGGAGGAGGAGCAAAAGCAGAAAAAGAGTTTGCATCAGAAGGCTCGCGATTGAAGCCTGCCGACGTACTGAACTCGTATCCCGAGCTGAGCGTCTTAAGTGCCAAGACACATCACGTCATGCGGCTTGAGAGGATGCGGTGCGGGGATAGGGGGGCGAAAACGAGGTCATCACAGGGTGAGAAAGAGCGAGGGCATGTTTGGAAGATAGATGGGGACGGAGCTTGAAGGAGATGAGCGTGCCGAGGGGAAAGTAGATGCAGAGCGAATGCACCAGAGGCGGCTGCTCTTTGAGGGCTCTCGGGCGGGGTCTTTTCCCGAGACACCAATAACGGGACAGAGTGCAGCACGTACCCTGCACCGACTCATTTCATTTTCGTACATGATCATCGCACGTTTTAAGGAACACGCGCCCGACCAAAAGAATAAACGAGCCGTTAAGCGCAGAGCTGCTTAAATGCAAGACAGACTGCTAGCAGTGCTCCGATGCAAATGCCAGCGTGCTACTTGCCTTTCACTAGACTGGAGCAAATCGTGCTAAGTACCGTCTGCGCAACACGCTAGGTGGGCAAGCCAAGTGGGCCGCTGATTTGAGCAGAACGGGTGAACTGTCGCTTCGCCGACCCGGCCGCTCCATGTTAGGCATCGGCAACGGTTCTACATCCGATTTTAACATATTGACACTTTAAGGACACGAGCTGGAAGGAGAGGAGAAACATTGCCATCCATTCGGGAACTCCGATACCAAAAATTTAGCTTGTAACGAATCTCCCGATTGGATGAGTGTCCGCCTCTCCACTCAGCTCGTGACCTTTAAGTGTCACAATGATTAAATCGGAGTATATTGTAAAAGGATGGAAGTTGTTTGGAGGCAGTGTATTTCTAGCTAGACTTCCAAGGACAGAGTCCGCGCAGAACACGGTGCTACGTACCGCACAAAGCGAGGTGCAAGGAGCTGATATCGAGTGAATCAAAATAATACTAGTAGGCTAGATAAGTACATAAAGAAGAAGTGACAAGGGACACAAACGGGAAGGTGCGGGTCGAAGGAAACCGGAGGAGACCAGGCCAGAGAGACAAGACACTAAGAAAACGAGGAAGCTGGGCAAACCGAAGCAACGGCGAGAGGGGCGAGAGCGACAAGACTGAAGAGAGGGGCGGAGAGCCCAGCGACGATAAGCGGGCGGGGCCGGGCCAGGCGCCGCGAGCGTGGCGGTCGCCGCCGCCTCGACGCTCCCTCGCAGTCGCGGACTCGCTCGCGATGCTGCAACTGTTAGCGTATCTCACACTTACACCCACACAAGCCCAATCCAAGCCGTGGATTTTTAAGGGCGAAAAATATCCTTCGTACGCCTTCCTTCAGAAGGGAAGTAAAGCCGGCTGTCCCGTGTTAGTAGATTTACTTCATGCAAAAGATCCTCAAGCTTAAATGAAGCCTCTGAGCTAAATTCAATTCGCCTGTTTCGACGCCCCAGAAATACCCCATTTCTCCGCTAGTTGGTGAAGGGAGCGTAGCGATTGTGTGTTCACACGAAAGAGCAGACCCCACGGCGTGAGTCTGGAGACATAAAAAAATCATCAATTCAAATTCAAATTCAAAAACACCTTAGACCAGTCTTGGCTGAGACGGTCCCCCTACGGCGGAGGACATTGTCAGATCACTTACTGTTGGCAGGAGAATACCGCCAAATTCAAGTATATAACATGTACTATATTTTCGGGACTAAAAACCATAAACGTTGATGATCCCGGAGACATAAAATCTCATTCAGCAAACCAAAATCAACATAATTCTAATCTAAACAACCCATTAAAAACGAGTACCGATAGAATTGTTAAAAGAGCATGCAACCAGCAACTGTTTTACACCGCTTCAATACCATTAAGTAGCTGCCCCCCCCCCCCTCTTCCCAGTGACGCAGAGGCTCGATCTAGCGAACGCAGGGTCCCAGTTAGGCGGCGCTTCCTGCCGCCTTTACGCGGCCGTTGCGATTTAACGACTGTGTGCAGAGGCCTCGATTCGCAGGCGCGGCCCCGCCCGCGGGGGACGAGCCGTTTATTGATACTGCGGGCGCTCACAGCGGTGGAGGCGGCGGCAGAGACGACTATGGCGGAGACCGAAGTGGTGATGGCGGCGGCACATTGCGGGGGTGGTGGTCGCGGCGATTGGTTGTGACTGAGGCGGAGACAGACATGACAGAGACCGCTGTGACGATGATCGTTTCAGTGGCGATGACGGTATGACACGTGGTGGTTGGTTGTTAGTGATTTCGGGCGCAACAACTACAAAGGTCATTAGTCCTGTAAGTGTAATACATGGTTGTTCCTCGAGAGTTGCGGTGAGATTTCCCCTTTGGATGGCGAGATCCGGCGCCGACCTACATCGGCATGCGGGCCTAACCAGGCGGCTTCCCTAACCAGGTATCTCACACCAACGACGCACCGCCCCGAACGGGACAAGCTCTAACAGCCCGACCGGGCTTCCGGCCTGTGTGGTAGTGTTGTACATGTTAGTACAAGTGTGTGTAAGGGGTGAAGATAGGACAAGGAAGACAAAGGAAAGGCATCAATTCAATTCAATTCAAGCTAGTGTAGAAAATCACGGTATTGTCCGGACTTTGGGCCTCCAGTCAGAGGTACCGCAGTAGACTCTCTCGGTGACACATTGTGGTGATGACTGCGCCGGGGGTGGTGGCGACGGAGACGGTGAAGACGGAAACCGCACTAGCAATGACGTTGGAACATGGTAGTGGCGATAGTGGTGAGGCTGGTGATGGCGATGGCGACGGCGGAGACTTGAAGGTGATGGTGACGATGGTGCCGGAGGTTCTAGCGAAGCGTCAGCGGCGACGTCGTTGGTGGAGGGGGGGAGGTCGGTTGTCAAAGACGGCGTTGACGCAGACGGTTGCGTTGGCAGTTACGGGTGTGATAGTAGTCCTGGTGATGGAAAATATGACGGTAGCGCTGGTTTTGACAGCACCAGTTATGGCAGCAGAGGTGGTGGGGTTGTCGGCGGATACGACGGGGCGTTGGCGATGGCAGAGTTAATGGTAAAGCGCGGGCGCAGCGAACAAACTCATCTTCGCCGACGCTACCCGAGATAATGTAACTGACTCTCAACGACGGAGCAGTAATCCCCGGGAACGATGAGTCCATTACTTCCCCTCGGAAGTGCTTTTCGATATTCTTCGATCGTTTTGGGAAGAGGTGCACTAAACATCTAGGCGGTGGAAGTTCCTTCATCTACTCAAAAGTAGATGTGACAAGAATTACCAATTTCTTTCAAATCGTTTCGCAATAACGGTTCTCGATGCATTCAAGACTCTCCGTTGATGTTCAATCGTTAAAATATTATCGAATGCAACACTTTAAGTTGAGCTAACTTTGTATACCTGTACTAATCAGTCGAAGACCTTACACCAAAGGAACACTTTTGCTCGATTAGCGTGGTTCGACACATTCAAAGCAGAGACGTTAGAGGGAGGAATGTTTCTAGGTCCAATTCTGAGTAAAGTTGCACAGTTATGTTTTTTTTATATTCCAGACACGAAATGTTGGCAATCACAAAAACTTGTGCTTTAAGTAAATACGTGAATGTCTGAGTGAGTAGGTTAGTACTTCGGGCACGTTATCTACTATCGTTTAGTAAAATAATCCATATCCTTTTCCAGAAAGTGCCGGCGTCCCCTCTTCGCCGGAACGATAGATCCGGTGCGGAACGTCAAGTCGCATAGCGAGTTTTCTTCTCTAATTGCAAGTATCTTCCCCAGCGGGTCACCGCCTCAGTAAGAATAAATTCAAAGTTTCCGACTGGTTTCAAGACGTGTAGCAGTGCCATTTGTAAACGGGCGAGGGAAGAGGAAGCGGCAAGGGAGAGGATAGAAGAATCGTGTGCCGTCTGTTAAGGTACTTCAGCTGCATTCGCCTGGTAATAATCGCCATGGGAGAAAACACGGAAAATTTCCGAAACTATCGGAGCAACCGATCGCTAAAATTCTCATCGAAACAGGGGTGAACCCAGCAATCCGCGATCGTCAGGACTCTTACAGGTCAACGACAATGAAGAGGCAACAGATGTTGTAACTGACCTATTCCCGCCGATCTCTTATTAAATATTCAATTTTTTTTTTCAGAACCACCATGATTAATTTACGGACAAATTTTAGAATACGATACTTTCTTTTTGACTTCACAAAGTATGTACAGTGCAAGTGGCGAGCATTACCACTTGGGCTACTGGTACTAGGTCAAAAGCGGCGCGCGCTATTAATAACCAAAAACATTTACAGTAAAATGTGGAAAATGACTTGACCTTACGGAATCGGACTCTATTTTTATAACAATGACTACCACGAGAAGGTCTTTAAATTTGAAACAATTACGATAAACTATGATAAAAAATAAAAGGAATCTATTTTATTACCTTTCCCGTAAGATTCTATGAAGCCACCCGCTGATAGGACAACATAGTCGACAAGAAAAACCGGAAATCACCCGATACCTGAAAAGATTAACCAAACTGAAATTCCTTCGCGCCATCTCGGTCAGCCGAAGCACGTCGAGGCCCCCCATGCACAGAGCCCGCAGGGAGTATTAATGCCAGGGCAACAAATCAAGCGCGCTTGAGTTATGGCAGCGATCGGACAGCGGAGGCGGAGGAGGTCTTTCGCGCGCAGAAATACGACGCGGGCGCGCGGAGATCCTCAGTTGTGGGGGCGGGGGGGAGGGGGCTCGCGGATGGGAAATGGCAACGGAAATCGCACCGGGCCCTCGCGCCGCACTCAGGGGCAGAGGATTAAGAGGACACGAAGCCTCCTCCGAAAGAAAAGAACTCCTAATTTGTTTTTGTTTTTCTTTGCTCGCGAATAGGCCGACTTGGAGCTTGCATTTACCGGGGCTCAGAAACATTATTTCGGTGACAGGTGCACGTATTTTTTTATCAGGGGATCAGAATTTATCTGGAGATATGCAAGATGAAATTATGATTGTGAGAGGACGACGAAACACACACATACAGACAAACACAAATACACCCATACCCGAGGAGGGACACGAACCAGACGATTGCAGGTTCGAGACCACTATGGTACTACTGCTTTAACGATCTCGGCCATCGGTATAGCTAATTATTATTATTATCATCATTATAATTATCATTATCATTATCATCATCATTATCATCACCATCATTATCATCATCATCATTATTATCATTATCATTATTATTATTACCACTAACGACAGTAGTTTTCTAGAAATAGTAATCGAGTTCTATGAATCAGCTTGGAAGACGAATTATACTGCACTTCCTAAGAAAGTACCTTCGCACTAACGAAAAAAGTCAACATCAGCTTCTCGAACTGGTAACTTTATTTAGATCTCCGAATTACAGACATTTACTTACTTACATTTACTTAATTGAAAATATTATAATTACATAATTATTATGTTTTAATTTCCAAAACAAATTTTGCTTTAATTTTCTAGCACTCATTCGCCTCGATAAGTGCACTCGCGTGTCACTGTACATATGATTTGGCAACATTAAGGGGTAGAGATATATGTGAAACGTCTGTTAATTTGCAGTTTCGTCTCGCTTTCGTGATATTTCAAGAACTCCACAATTAATTTTGTTGATCCCAAAACAAAAATATAACGTTTCGTCACGAGTGTGTCAAAGCTGTATCAAATTACTACAAATCATTATTTTATTTACATGGCATCTATCATTATTTATCAATGTTTTATTTACATGGCCAATTTAACACATCCGCCTAGTAATGATCGCCTTTATTACGATAGTACCGCCTACTGAATACTGTAGTAATGGCGGTAGCAAAAGCGATAGTTGATAAAGGACTAAAGTAGAAATGTATAATTGTCAATATTCCCGTCACCTTGATGGACGCAATTACGCTCGGAGAATATATTTCGCAGCCAAAAAGAAATCCAAATTGTGACCATGTTACTGAGTTACAAAACATTTTAATAATTAAATTTGTTGGTGACAATTATCTCTCTCTCTATTATATATATATATATATATATATATATATATATATATATATATATATATATATATATATATATCATACATATAAGGAGCGATAATCGCGCTCATGAAAACTGTCCAAAGGATTGGTTGTCTCGGTAGCTTAGTGGTTAGAGCAGATGGGCGTAAACAAGGTCCGCCTTCGAATGCCGGTCGGGGCAACCAATTCTTTGAACAAATTTAATTAAAGCACAAATTATTATTGAAGAAAGTATTTATTTTGTTTGCAAGCCAGGTGTTCTAGAGTATTCGTAAATATCCAGGATAATTTAGTTCTCTCACTGCTGATATCCCTAACCGTAGGTTCAGATTTTGAAAGTTAAAAGTTAATTTTTTTAGAAATGTTTCTTTGTTTGTGAAAACGATCAAATATTAAAACTTCTTTGGAACTTGTACCATCGAAGAATGAAATCAAATTTTGAAATATATACTGTGTATAAGAAGAAGATATTATTCTTACACAAATCACAGCTTTTAGCAATAGCAAAATCAGCACACCTAACGGAAATTTCAAATTTCATTATCATCCAATTTAAAGGAGCGTAACTGCATTTAAAGCGAAAATAGCTTACCCTTTGTAGATATAATGAACGATCTAGGTACCACACTTAAGCTGGAATAGGAACACAAAACCCGAAATTATGGAAGTGGACTGCGAAAGTAGTCGTATGTTCTCATGACCTCGGCACTAAAGCCCAACACCGAACACAAGATATACTTTACGAGGTAAATTTTACGACCGGTGTATAGGAAGTTTGCCCTCTCCATTTTCAGGCGCACGTGGGTTCTGTTTCACACACACACATGTATCGACATACGGTACATGTTTGAATGCGGATTGTGGCAGTTAAAATAAGAAATTATTCACATCGCAAACTCGATTCCGGTGGGATTTTGTCTAACGCTTCCATATTCATGAGTACGAAATATTCATATTCCTCGATTTCGTTCTGCTCGTCCAATATCATTGAGCAAACAACACAATACGAATACCATCTAGAGGAGAGAAATTGGGAGCTTCAACGTTGAAATAAAAAAAAAGCAACTAAATTTAAAAAGTCTGCTAAAGCACAAGGTGGTGGAACATGAAAGTTCACTCTCTTCTTTCGCTATATGAACACCGGCAATGATCCCCCGAACTCTGCGACCCATTTGCATTTTGCCCATAAGCACTAGCAACGCTCGCACTAGTGGTGGAGTGATCTCGTAACGTAAAGGGAGCCCCCCCCTCGAAACAAGAGCGAGAGAGGACGAGGGAGAGGATAGTGAAGAGTGGGAGAGGACTGGGGGATACTATCAAAGTCCCAAAGGGGGTTGCCCTGAAGGGTTGGGGGTAATGAATCTCGGCAGGTATTGGCTGATCAAGGGCGAGAGCAAACACGAAAACGCTGTTCGCGTTCCCCCCCCCAAAAAAAAAAATTCGTCGAGAAGAGAACGAGGCGAAGAGAGGGGGAGGGTGCAAGAAGAAAAAAAAGAGTTTCTTGTGCTCGAGGGGCTGAAGTTGCGACTGCGCTGCCTCAAAGGGCCTGCTCTTTCCGTCTGCCGGCGAGGGATCCATTGAATGAGGCAGGGCGCCTTCGAAGACGAACACAACTGGGAGGGGGGGGGTTACAATGGCGGAGAGGTGGCAGCGGGTTGAATGGCAGTTAAGAAAAAGAGTGCAAATTAACTAACAGTTCTTTAAGAATTAAGCTGATATTTCAGAAATTTGCTCCAATCAAATTTTCCATTTTATACGGTATCGTACACCGGAATAAATAACGGATTTGTTCATGAATATCTGTTAACAACAATACTGTTGACTCTCAGGAAAAAAAGTTTATTGGCTAGACTCGTGTGATTACATTTGTAATTTCTTTTATTAGCATGATAATACTGACCACCAAGTGGATTCCGGGCAGCACATTCCAGTTTCAGCACTGCAATAAAACTGTGTCGTACCATATGGATGGAAATTAATTTCTTATCATACTTTTTAAATGCCCTCCTTAAGAAGGCTAAGGAGTTCATCAGAATATTGTCCTCAAACACGAAACGATTTAAAAAAATTATCAGCCATCTTCCGTTTGCAACTCTCAGTGTACCAAATTTACAACACAGTAACCTTTCTCTCCCCTCTGTACAAAAGTTACACATAAACCTAGAGGATTTCTGTGGATTAAAATTTAAGCCGTCGCAATAACGCCATACTAGTTGCAGCGGCGATGATAGTCTTCATTCTCTTCTTCTATTCACTATTAAATCAATACTGACAAATAATAGCAGACATGCTCAGAACTCATGCATAGAAATGCCGCCAACGAATGCTCCCGAACAGTGCAATGCATCATTGCCAGCTGAAAAAGGTGTATAGCGTTTACACACAACGTTTTTGTTTCTATATGAAAACCAGCACAAAATCTATACCACGTAGAATATCTTTTAGTGTCAGCAAGTAGCTTACGGGTTCTTGCACTGGCTTCCAAAACCAGAGTTTGTAAAGTAAAATCGGGCTTGGAGAAAGATTTTTGCAAAAAATTCTCATTAAGTCTATTGCTCATACGCTGGTGGCTTATAACAGAAACGTGTCTAACGACCTGGTCGTTAATAAAATCCTTTTACAAAATCCTTTCACATAAAATAAAATCCTTTCACATAAAACCCTGTTTTTGTGATCCTAATGGGTGCAAAATAAGTTTTTAACGGCGTAATTTGCAAAAGGATGCACATTATTAATAAGAAGATTTTTACACATGTGCAAGATATATAAGATGCATTTTTGTCAATGTGCATGATACGATTTCTAAGGTGGTTACTGTTGTAACAGTATGAATATAACCAACCTTTCATACAGTGCGCCAGGAGAGGCTATCGGCAGCGGTACATTGATAGTGAGGGTACCAGAAAATATTATGTTGGTAGCACGAGCTGCAGCTTATAACAAAAGAAAATGTGTATTCATCACACTGATTACAGATGCTGGAAGTGTTGTCCCTTTCACTTGTTTCCCAGTTATCTGGTTGCTACCAACCAAAACATTGTTTTTAATGGAAGGCTCTCATCGGGCTTGGTTCGCAAAGACTTTCCTGGCGCACTTTAGATCAGTCGTTTTGTAGAGTTGTCGAAAGTTTTGATATCACAGCCGTATTTCGGGGAATCTATGCTGAAAAAGTGCTCCTATTAAAATTATTGGAAATATGTGAATTACGAAAGGTCCTGAAAAAGCCCACAAAACATTCAGTCTGAGAGCTTCGTGCCCCTTAATAAAGTAACAGAAATGGCGTTGCCCGCTGCACACGCGATGAAACCACAATGCTATTTCCTGAAACAGGAATTTCAAAGCCACTCCACTCCGCGTACATCGAATCAGAATTCTCTTGCACGATCGTCCGATTACCGGATGTCCCAAGCACTGTGCAGTGTTGTCATCGCCCGCTCAAAGCGCTGTCAAACACGGGTAAAGTGCTGCATACGAGATTTTTGCAGGTTTGCGACAGAAAGTACGAAAGCAGAACGGTCAACATATTTTGGACGGATGTGTGCGAACACCAGAGAGCCATCGGCAACGAGATGGAAACCGCCCGGATCCCCAAGCATTGATCTTTGTGAAGAGCAAACTATAACTATTTCACTTAACAGAATTTAATTTTTGAATTAGCGTATTTTTTTTTAAAAAAATACTAATGTAAACATAAACTATTCAAGTTGTCTTGTTGCGATAGTCTATGCATTACGTGAGGTCCTGTTCGAATTGCTCGGGGAGCATGCGAGTTTGACCTTGCACTTGACTGAAAAAGACACAATGTTGTTGATATTGCAAAACATGTATCACTGTGTATGTTCTAGATATTTTTTGATCATCATGGTTTCTCAGAGTTTCCAACGCGATTGTGGATGTAAGTTGTAATGCAAAAGAAAAATGTAAACAACGATTTTCGTAGTCAAGATGTGGTTTGGCATGGGGGCAAAAGAATATTGAAACACACCAAACGAACCGAAATATTTCATATTTGTCGTCGTAAGTCTAAATTAATTATTAACATGATTTGGACCACGAATTATTTTAAGAGACACCATTTCTGAAAATACCGATTGCCGAAACAGTCTGAATATATATATATATATATATA